TGATAAGGCCATTTTTAGATGCAGGATATTTTCATACAATAATGTAGAAAAAAAACTGATGCTATCTGCCAAAATGCTGTCATGTATAAACACTTATATCAATGAAAAGTGGGTGAATGAAAGGCAGTAAAAATAGGCAATGTTAGCTGAAAGCAAACTTCTTGGAACACAGATTTTAAAGATCCTCAGGCATTGTCAATATGGTTGTTTGTTTGTTTTTTCAAAAGTTAAGTTAGCCTCGAGGAATATGATTCCCAAGTAAATGAACACAGAGGTGAACGTAAAAAAGCATTTTTTTAAAAAAAAAAAAAACACTTGTTCATTAGTTACATAAAGCACTCTTACCTTTTAGCTACACTATTTTCTCCAACTACCATTTCAAATTAATCACGCTTCGAAGTGTGTGTGTTTGTGTGTGTGTGTGTGTGTGTGTGTGTGTAAGAGAGAGAATTTTAAAATGCAGGAATAAAAATGCTCCGAACATACCACAACTTTAAAGGCTACATTTTTCTGCTCATCTCTTGTGTTCCTGATGAACAGGCAAGGACAATTGTCAAATCTCTCTTATGGGAGATTTTAACCCCTTTCGAGTCAAGGCGTTCCTAAATGAGCGCTCAGCCCAATAGGGAACGCCTTCTCTTACCAGCAGATTGCAAAGGAAGGGGGGCTTTTCCCCCCCCTTCCCAGGAAATGCTTTCAAATACAGTAGTAAACGCTACCAATCTGCCACAGCTCCGTTTCTTCAGGAAACGGGCACTAACAGTTAAATCCAACGCGACCCATTTTGGCCCAAAACCCGGGAACTAATGCATCCTTAGGATTCGAGGCAGTGGGACACGGCTTTTTGACTCGAGGATCGGAAGCGCGGGTGAAAAGATGCGAGAAGCCTTGGAAGAAGGAAGTTTGCAGTCAGAACCTACGGAACAGAGACCGCCGCCAACCCCTTTCGAACCGGCGAGGAAGGCTGCATTGGAAGGCAAAGATGTTGCCTCGGTTCCTTTGGCTTTAGTAGCTCCTTCTCTTGAAATCAGCCGTACTCCGCCCCTCCCGTATGTAGGCGACCACGGGGAGAGGCATTTCTCTGCGGTAATCCTACAGGGACCGGGGGGGGGGGACTTCCCTACACTCATCCCGAAGGAAAGGGGACACCTTAGCTGTCGCTTTGAAGAGAAAAAGAAACTGCCCAGCCTCGGATGTCACTTGGCTTTGGAAAGCAGCGCTGAAGCGAAGCTTGCAAGAAAGAAGTTTGACGAAACCGAGCAACTGCGCTCCTGCGAGCGGGCTTCCTTTGCTACAGCCCTTCGGTCACCCTGGAGAAGGGGCGGGGTCACGGCGCATGGAAACAATAAGAATCTCCCGAGCGCCGGACTGAATTGGCGGGACCGAAAGGGTGGCTCCACTTGCGTTCCAAGGGGCGGGAAAGAGACGTTTTACGGCGTTCTCATTGGAGGAGGAAAGGAAAGAAGGCGAGACCGAAGGGAATCCTCGAGTCTCTGGGCAATTAGCAAGCGCCGGCGACGCGGGAGACTGAGGGCAAGGGCGGAGAGAGCGGCCGTCGCTAATCGCGTCCAAAAGAGCGCACGCAGAACAGGCGGATTCCTCTTCCCCACAAAATCATGAGGATTTGGCCCACTCGGAAATGTGGGAAGTGATTATATTATTATTTTTTTTTAAAAAATCATCGCATAGCCTCCAACCGTTCTTTCTTCCTTAATGTTCAAAAATACAGTAATCTTAACTCCAGAGACATTTAATTATTTACAGAAAGACCTTTGAAGAGTCACCGAGTCTCGGCTGTTTGGTTAGAAGATCATTTAAAGTAAAGTTATGGCTACAGAAATGGCCCAGTTGCTAAAGAATTCTTTTAAGAAGCACGAACATCCCCCACGCATCTCGCTTTTCCTATGGAGAGGGTAGAATCGACTATGCCTATTCTGCAAACTTTCTAGCACGCGTTTAATTCCTTTCAACAATGTTTAAAATTAAAATAAATATATTTTGGGCTTTACTGCTCTCTTTTAATTACATTTAGAGGCAGTTTCCACACATTCTCTTCTATTTCTCCTCTGCTCCCATCCTAAATCACTTTTTCATTAACGATTTTTAATAAGAAAAATCACTTGACCGCTAGTCATTATCTCATCCCTTCCGTGCACACAAGTTCACTTACCCATCCTTTCATTTATTCACTTACTCATTCCAGCAGACCCGCCGCAACTGACTGCTAGCAGGGATGTGAACACTCATAATTATTTGTCAAAGTCTGCAAAGTGTATTATCCTTTTTCTACTGGTAATTAGTTACCATAGCATCTAATACGTAAATGTGCCCAGAGCACACCATTAACAGTTAAACGGAGGATTCAATTTAACACATGATTATATCTTTCATAAGTCATTATATTAGGAGAGTCAATGTCACTCACGCTGGGACAATCGCGGGATTAGAACGGGGGCGAGGGAGGGAGAGGGGAGCAGAGAGGAAGGGGGGGGGGCTCGCCTTGGCAGCCAAGGTGAAAAGGGAAGGGGGGGTATGTCGGGATGGGATGGGCGTCCCTAGTCTGGCGGGGTGGCTTCAGTGAAACCGAGGCTCTTGAAGGGGAATCTTCATTTCTGATGAAGTGATCCGTTAAATAAGGAAGAGGAGGGGGAAGGGATGGCACGCATGTCGGCGGGCGAGGAGGGAGGAAACAAGATCAGCTGCTCCTCGCACGTCTGGAGCCAGGCTCAGGAACTGCGGGTAGGTCCTGGTGGTTAGGTGTGGTGATGGGAGCGGTGGGTTTAAAACATCCAAGTCTCCACCATTGTCTCACATTTTCTACAAGAAGTTAAAGCGCCAGTAATTACAGGAGAGGTAAAAGGAAAGCCTTGAAACAGGCTTTGGGAAAGAGATCAGAAACTTTCTTCTTCCCTGCCCCTCTCTCCACTCCCCCCCCCCCGGGCAGCTTTTAACCCTTCCCCACTAATTTTCAAGAAGAGAAAGTGAACGTTGAAAAGGAACAAGCCTGCCTCCCTTCCCCCAGCAACTCTGAAACTTTCGACCGAACTAGAGGTTGGTGGTATATTCCTTATCTCAGTGACAGTGGTCGCAAAAACAACTAGCAGACAAACCCACCGAGTGCTTAGCGGAAAGGAGAGTGGAAAAGAAAGAAAGGCACAGGAGCGAGAAACGCTCGCTGAGCTGAGGGAAAGCCAGCTTCTCTTGTTCCGGTAGTCCTTGAACTTTTGTTTCCTGCTCCTGCAAAAAACGGACCTGGACCGAGAAAAGGGGGAAATGAAAGGAAAAAGACAATTGTACTCTACCCTAAAGACTAAGGCGCTGTTCACAGCATCCCGGAAAAGGCAAAGGTTCAAGCCCTAAGGGAAACTTCTGGTCCCCACAATCTAAACTCAGCGGAGCCGAAGGAAAGCTCGTGATCCGGTACTGCCACAGCTACCTACGTTTGTTCCCGCGTAATGTGAGATGAGAAGGTTGCTTCCTAAAACTGATAACATCAGTTTTAAAACTGATAACCCCGTTTCTAACCCCAAGACCTTGTCTTGAAGTGAGGCAGTAGAGACTAGTTATACCAAAAAGAGCTGTAAGGAGAAACTGCAAAAGCAGCTTTTCCGGAATCTTTTGGTTTGGCCAAGAGGTTAAATGTTTCTCGCCCGCTCCCCATTTCCCAGTTTTGCCCTTTCTTTAGCCTTTCGATCCGCTCCTCCGCCCCGCCCCCGTCCAGCTTGAATCAAGGGGTCTGCTCGTCTTTGAGGACTGCCTTCTCCTGAAGGGAATCCAGGCGATTTAAATCTGCCCCCGTCTGTCATGTGGTGGGTATGTCTGGTCGTGGAAGCTTTCGGCTGCGTTTGATTCCTAATCAGGATGATGGACAGCAGGAACAGAACAATACAAACTAATGGCGGTTCTGCTGATCACTTTACCCCTTGATTAAAGACACCCAATTACGGCGCAGAACAGTGTCGTAATTATGTTCCTTAATCACATCCAGGAGGTCTAATTGCCTTAACGACGTGTTTCATTAAATGAATTTAGGTATTATAGTAGACAGTTTTCATACACAGTTGTTTTCAAATTAACATAATATTAGACATCGCCATGGAAATTGTTTTAATAATCATAATCAGACGCACCCAGGCTTTGTCTGGTAAATATTGAGAGATGGTTTCTCCTGACGCCTCAGGGTGAGTTGCTCACCCTTGTCTAGCTACTTTCACTCCACTATACAGTTATTATTCCTGAAAAGTTACAGGTTCTGGTTAATTAATTTTTTTTTTAAATGAGAAGTGGAGCAGAAAATCTTTATCCGGTGTTCCTCCTCCCCCTCCATCCCCTGGAGCATTTGAGGGCATTCCCAGAAAGAAGGCCGAGGGAAGAACGAATGCTGAGCCAGTCGAGGAAGACCCTGACGATGGCAGACGAGCTCGCTCCCCCAGAACATCTCAGGATCGCAAGCGCGTGGGCACGTGAGAAACGGTCGCCCCCCCCCCAGTCGAATGGACTGGCGCGCTTCCCTGGGGAAAGGTGGATCTGATCGGATCCTGGGATTCGATAGGTCGCGGAGACTCACCGCCTGCGGCACTTGCTAAAGTTTTCCTAGGTATGTCCGCCTTAGCGTGAGAGTCCAGAACTTTTCCGTACGAAACTGGAGCACAATCCTATGGACAAAACGGAAGTTTCCCTCCAGCGGTCTTTGTTAGAGCACCACCTTTTCTCTTCCAGGAAGCCAAGGTGAAGGCTCACCTGTACGCAAGCCTTTCCTCGCCTTCTGAGTAGAGTAAGGGTAGTTTGGTGCGTTACTCTTCTTAACGAGTCTGTTGCCTTTTTGCGGGTGTCTGAACAGAGCAAAGAGAATTGCGGGGATGCTTGACTTTTTTCCACTCCTCTTACAAATAAAGGTGGGATGAAGATTTGTTCAAAATATTTTAATAAAAACTATTTTTCTGACATAGATATACATACAACCGACCATACATCACTGCCGTCCTCTTACTGACCTATTTTCATGTAGACCACTCTTTATATGTCCTTGACCTGCCAAGGAGTTTTCAAAGCAGTCGTTTTGCCTATCCAAAGCTGGGAGATCAAATTTGGATTATAGGAAGTAGCTGGAAATACCAAATCTCAAAGATTTCGGGGCAGAAGCACAGAAGATAAAGGTTTTCAGGAGCTGTACTTATTAAGACCTGTATCTATAGACCAGTTCTGTCCAACAACAGTTCATATCCCATTATTTGTCCTAGCCCCAAATCATATTAATGTAAACAGAGTTAGATTTAGGCCCAGGTCTAAATTAAACGTTTCACCCAGTTTAATTCATTGGTATTACTTTTACAGTTGGAAACAAAATTACTTAAATAAAATCTTAGTTACTTATCACAGCCTGTTTGGTTGGCACAGATTAAAAGTTATTTTTCATCTTACAGTGCCAAGTATGCTTAACCAAAGGGGAAAAAAATATTGGAATCAGTGGGGCACCTACAAATAAATGTGGCTACGATTAAGAGGAACACTGGGTTTCATTTAACTGGATCAGTTTAAAATTCATACACTTCAACTTAAATTGTTTTGAACTGTATGAGAAAACAAAACTATAGTATTAATTTTCAAATATATTTTTGAAGTAAACACTCCTTTATTTTTCCAATTTCTATCATTCTGAAGGTAAAATATATGTAACCCTTCTTATAAAACTGAAATGTCTACTTTCACCTAAAATAACTTTTACATTTTTAAAAAAACTAGCTTTATTCCAGAAAAATCAAACACTGCCACATGAAAAGTCTTTGGCATATTCTTGACAAGAACTATTGCCTGTGTCTTATGGTGATAGTAATTAAAACATTTTTTTTGCATGTTGCAAAAAGTTTGTTTATTCACCACAGTCCAGTTCATTCAGCAGTTAAGAAAACACTTCTCCCCTCATTTTTGGACTGAAGCAATTTATTAAAGCTCAATTTATAAATACAGGGATGATGCAACTTAAAAATCCAGATGACCTTTCATAAACCTCAGCAGTTTGGATACATCAAGATTTCTGGTTCGAACATCCTTGGCAAATCAAATATTTTAAACACTTGGCACAAAGTTTAAGTTAATGAGATTTTAAAGAAGCATTTGAAAAGTAAAAAGCACACATAACTTTTAACACAGGATGAACATTGTCATGAAAAGATCACTGAAATAAATATGTGTTCTGGTACACATAGCATTGCAAAGTGAAAAGAAACAAGGTGCACATCTTTAAAAATAATAATAAACCTGCAATACTTCAGCCATGTGAACAGTTTTTACATCTTCTTAAGTAAACACTCTCTGCCAAAACTTTGCTCATTTTCACAGGCTCAAAAGTTCAGAACAAATAAAAATGCAAGGAATTTCAGAGCAATTTTTGCACATATCTAATTTTAGGAAGTCTACGTTTCAAGTTTGCATGTTCTCTGGCTCAGAAGCAATGAAATAAAATAGCATTTTTTAAAACCCCCTTTTAAGTGCCCTTCTTGATTTGTCTGAGTTTACAATCCAGTTTGCTTCCTGCCACCTGTTTCCCTTGCTGAAACCGAGCAATCTTCCAAACCTTGGTTGCCGATAGCAAAAGTTGTCAAAAGTTGGAAGTCTTAAAGAAACGATGTGGCATACAGATTTTCTCCGAATCTTCGAGTTCTCCATGATCACATTTCACCCTCCCCCCCCCATACATCTTTTCGGGGGGGAAATGCGATTGAGTGTGTTAAACTTCTCTGAGGCGTCGGTTGCACTGAACTCCCCACATCATCCCCATGACCATCCCCTTAAAGGCGGCTGCAGCAAAGTCCGGCCAAGGAAGTATTGTGACGAACGATGAAGGGATCGGACAGAAGTTCGTGTCTCTTTTAAGGCTTCTCCGTGCACTGTTTGCAGAGACTGGACGAGACGCTATTGAAAATGGCACATTTCTCCGGGCAAGAGGTGGCGGGCGGCAGGCCGGCATTGAAAGGGTAGCCTGCCGCCGCCTGCTCATAGGCCCCGAGAGCCGGGTGCAAAGCGGCCGCCGCGGCCGCTGCAGCCGCCGCTGAAGAGGGCAGCGAGGCCGCCGAAAGAGCCTGGCCCTGGTTGAGATAAGCGACAAGGCGGCGCATCTCATCGAGGGCCTGCGCCTGCATAAGGATATAGTTCTTGGCCAGGAGAAGCGTGGCGATCTTGGAGAGCTTCCGCACCGAGGGGCTGTGCGCGTAAGGGATGACAGCCCTCAACTCGTCGAGCGCGTCGTTCAGGTCGTGCATGCGCCTCCGCTCGCGGGCGTTGATGTTGAGCCGCAGCGCCTTCTGCTCCTTGGACTTCTTGCCGCCGCCGCTGCCGTGGTGGCTACTGGAGCAGGCGCCGCCCTCCGGCGCCTTGAGTAGGGCGCCCCCAGAGCTGACGACGACTCCGGAGCCGCTACCCCCGCCGGGGCCCCGCAGCAATAACTCGCAGCGCCCGTCGCTGTCGTCGTCCGGGCTTTGCTCGCCGCCGCTGCTCTCGGCCACCGAGCTGCGGCTGGTCGTGGTCTGCCCGTACTTGACGCAGACCGAGCCGCCCAGCGGGTCCCCGGCCACCAGTGCCCCCGCCGCGCTCTCCCTCAGCAGCACCTCGGAGTCGGCCGGCTCGTAGCAGCTGAGAGGCGACGGCGCTTGCCGCGACTCGCGCTGCTGTTGCTGGTGGGCGGCCAGGTCGAGCCCCGGGGGTGAACGAAAGGCAGATTCCATTCTCTTGGCCGAGGCGCTGAGGCTCTTGTGGAACAAGTCTTCGTCTGAAGCCAGGCTTAGCGCCCTCTCCATAGTCCCGACCGGTGGGTTCCCCTCCTCCAACTCCTCCCTCTCCCTCTCCCACGCCCCCTCCCCCGCTCTGGTCCTTCAACGCCCCGGGTCGGGGGCTTGCCTGGGTCGAGATACTCTTTCCCGAGAGCGCGGCTCCTCGTCTTGCCCCTGTCACCTTCTTCTCCCCGCTGTTCCAGTGTCTCGCAGGCAGGCCGCTTTGGCGCGCGTTCTTTCTCTTTCCCTCAGAGTGCGTCTGTCTCGCCCGTCGCCTCGCTTGCTCTCAGCGCTTCTCTCCCAGGACTAAGGCATTGTGAGCCTCCGGCGGGCTCTCGGCACCTTTTCTCTTGCTTGGATTCACCTTCGGGAGATTGCCGGGACCCACCAAGTGAGAGAGAGAGAGAGAGAGAGAGAGAGAGAAGAGAAAAAGAAGAAAAGAGAGCAGGAGCGCTCGCTCTTCGCTCGCTCGCTCGCTCGCTGAAGGCGGTGGCGGCGGCAGCGGCGTCTACTGGTACTCCCGCCGTTGCTGTTGCTGTTGCTGCCGCCACCGCTGCTGCTGCTAACTGCCGCCACCACAGACGGGGGAAGTCTTTTACCTCATTATCTCGCGGAGAAGGTTATTATGAAGAAGCCTCGCCTGTTGGGACAGAGCTTTCTACCCAATCAGGTTAACGTTTTAATTAATAGGATTAAAACGGTAACAAACGAGCCCAGGCGCTAGGCTTGGCCCTGAGTCTGGAGAGTTTGCATTTCACACCGGTCTGGAGGAGGAGGAGGAGAAGACAGGCGGCAGCTCACGCTTTATAAAAGGCTCCTTGCTCCATTATTCTCCCTGCCATCTGTGGGCACAGCTTAACGCATATGTTTGCAAGGCGTTGTGTCCTATTAGGAAGCCAACAACTGCCTTTACAGCCTGACAGGTGTGGCGACTTTCACTCCTCAATGAGCACACTTAAAAGCCCGAGCTGGGGCGAAGGATGCTCTTTCCCTCCTTCAGCAAATTACGGGGCGGGGCAAAGGAGGGAGAAGAAGAAGAAGAAGAAGAAGAAGAAGAAGAAGAAGAAGAAGAAGAAGAAGAAGAAGAAGAAGAAGAAGAAGAAGAAGAAGAAGAAGAAGAAGAAGAAGAAGAAGAAGAAGAAAAAAGCGGAGGGCACACTTCGCCCCGCCACCCATCCACGAAGACTGACTGCGAGTGGACTTCAGTGAAGTTTGTGCCGTCGCCAGACTGACGTTCGGCCGCGCCAACCTTCACGCCCCACTCCGTTCTTTGCGAAGGAGGAGGACCTGCTTGCCTGCTTACGTGCCATTCGACTTCACCTTGGCCTCAACCCATTTATGTCGCTGAGGTTCACTTCAAGCGCGTTTCTCTCGCTTCCTCTTTTGGGCAAGACGCTTCCATCTTTTCCTCGCTCCTCACATCGCCCCCGCCCCCCACATATTCACCCTCCCCCAGAGTCATCACAGTCTCTCTGTTTTCTATATGGAGCGGACGCACAATTAATAGTTAAGCTTTTAATTAATTAATGGGGGAGTGGATCCCCTCCAGCTTCTCCGCCCACAACTTTCACTTTCTAACAAACGAGAACTTGGACGCCAATTTTATTCTAAACTCCTAATTTAGTAGACACCTTCTCACCCTTCAAACCTCAGGCTTTAAGAATTGTAGGACCAATTCTGTCATCTAGCTCGGGAGTTACAGGTGTATTATTAGTGTGGCTTTCTACATAGTTATTTTTAAAGGGTGTGGAACAATAAAGTCTTGGAGCCAACTCTTATGTTTAGTGTGTACCCATCTGATCCCCTCCAAGGAAGACAAACCATTTTTGTTTTTATTTCATGCCCTTTCTTTAAAGGAGGATAGTGGCAGAATTTGCTCTTTTTTTCCCCTCACATTTTTATGACATCATTGAAGAATATTTCTAATGCTTTCACCAGATCTTATGTGATAGAATAACCAAAGATTATGAGATGTTCAATTTGTCTGGTTTCATTTAAAAAAAAATCCTTTAATTGTGTCTTTCTCAGTTGGCCTCAGGTGTTGGACTCTTTTCATTACATTTTGCTCTAATGTGATGAAATTCTAATTCTCTCCTTACCATATGGTTAAATTTCCCCACTGAGAATTAGTTGAAAAAGAAGAAATAATCTATTAATCTCTATAATAGATTCACAAATGAGGTTTGCCACAGAACCTCGCCTTTGAATGGCAGCATCAGAACAGTTGGGTGTCTTGTTTCAGCAAAGAACCGGAGCAGGCGACAGCCGACTCTGTCTGGATTTTTCACCTGGAAGAGAAGCCAAGCGCCAACAAAACCTCCCTCGCTTGCAACAACTGAGGAGAGAACTTTCTCTCTAGCTCAGACTCCGTGGACATGGGAGTCGCTACTGAAGCCTTACCCTGAATAAGGAACAAGATAAACCTATCAAAAAGCCTTCTGCCTTTCTTGTAGCGCTAAATCCCACTCATGTTAAGGCACTGGCCCCGATTCCAATTCTGCTGTCTCCGTCCATTGGAGTTTCTTAGAAAACCACTCCATTTTCACTAGGATCCTAAAACTGAGATTTTGCTCCCTGCACCCAAACCATCCCAACACGTAGGCAGGATCGCGCTTTTCTTCTGTAACTGGATTTGGGTAGAGGAGCACTGTGCTGGGGAACCACCTCTGAAAAGAGGGGCGTTTGCTCAATTTCAGTAGAGGTTTTCTTGTAGGAAATAGTAAAGGAGCTCAGTGATTGGGGCTGATTCACTTTTTGGGCAGGTGGATCTGCCCAAATGGAAAGGGCAAGGACTTGTCTTAAATAATGGGATTTGCAGGAGGTGGTGTCTCCAGGATTCTCCCTATTGGTCCATCCCCTAAGCTAGTCACTGACTTCCTCCTCAAACACACAGAATTCCCCCTCCCTCCCTCAATTTGTCCGACTCTGTCTCCTCATCCCCGACAGCCATCTCTCTGTTTGGCAATATTCCCTCGTCCTCCCTCGCATCAAACGTTCAAGTTTTCTCGAAACTTCTCTCTTCAATCCACCTCCAGAAACATGGTATGGTCCTCAATTCATCATCATCACCATTATTATTTTGCCTAAGATATGTCGTTTCCACGGTCGGTCGCAGTGTTTCTGTTGTAGCCTCTGGAGAATGGAAGCTGTTTAATAGTCGCCACCAACTTTAGTTTGGAAGTCGGTAGAATTTATAGATGGTTTAAATGCGGGGCTTTTAAAAAATACCCGAGGAATGGTCTTTGTGGTTTATGCAGTCGTAAACTTTTGCTGATTGCTTCTGGGAAGTTGTCAGGCTTTTAAAACTACGTTTCTCTTATGGTGCAATGAAAACACATCTGCCCAACGTCTCGTTACCTGGTTTAATGGAAACGCAGCCCCGTGTCACTGCCGAAGTCAAATGCCCACTTTTTCATTGCCTCGACTGCGAGCAACAGAGTCTTTAGGGTGAACAAGGGAAGCATCTAACAAATCAAGCAACTTGATCATTATGTCGAAGAAATGTAAACTGCCGGTGAACTTTCCTAGACTGCGGGGTGGTACTTCAATTTGCAACTTTGGCAGGCGAAGCTGAGAGAATTATGTAGCATTACAAAAGCAGGAAATTCAAGTCAAGACTTGCAAAGTATCTCCCTAGTCAGGCTCTGGTCTGCCCTGACGTTAGGAATGGCTAAAAGGAAGCCACAAGGGTTGGGGATGGGGTAGGTGGGGAGGCCGACCTTCACAGATTTACAGGCAGCATTTAGGCTGCAATCCTTTCAATATTAACAGGCCTCAATATGGTATGTCACTAAAAGAGCATCTGATTAGTGAAAGATGGGAATCCCAAATGGTGTTTAAAATAGGTCTCTTGCCATCTACTTCAGACTACCTACATATTGGAAGCACCTTTTGTTTGTTTATTCTAGAAACTAATTCAGCTAATTCATAATTGTGCAGTTTTTTTCTTTATGAAGGTAAAACTACTTCTATTTATGAAAAAGGTCATCAGTATGTCATTGCACTCACAATATGGATTCCCAATCCCCTCAGATATTATATCTGCCAAAGAATAAGGTTTGCCCCTTTACCCACAAGTCAACAGAACAATAAGATAGCACATAATATTTGTCAATATGTGTATCAGTCTCCTGCAGGTTAGTCCAGTGAAAAAGTTCATACCATAAATTCTTAACTAGAAAGAAAGAAAGCAAGAAAGAAAGAAAGAAAGAAAGAAAGAAAGAAAGAAAGAAAGAAAAGAAAAGAAATAAATTTCTTTTTTAAATCAAGAGGCATTATTTATTTTATTTTGGTAGCTTTGAGCTAGTCTTAACTTCTGGTTCTGGGCTAGTTCCTGAAGTTTTGTTGGCAAGATTTTCAGATAGTGGCTTGCCATTTTCTTCTTTATAGAGCAGAGAGAGAGAGAGAGAGAGAGAGGGAGGGAGGGAGAGGGGGGGGGGGAGATTGGCCAAAGGTCACCCAGTTGGCCTCATGCCTAAAGTGGGACTTGAACTCATGATCTCTAGATTTACTGCAGTTAAGTGACATTCCAGAAACACTTCATAACAGTTCAATAGATTATTGATTCAACTGTCTACAGATAACCAAGTATTTTAAAATAACAACAAAAACCCAAAACATTACCACATATTACCAATAGTCCAAAACTCACCTTTCTCCTCTATACAATCTTGCATGAATGTATGATTAATTGTAGTACAATAGCATAGCATATTTTATAAAGATTAAAGAGCTTCACAGCAACAAAAGCTTCACATAATTTGGGAAATGTTCTTAATTTCTTTGACACATCACAACACTTAACAAAATCGATAATAGATTCAGGCTTTTCTCTTCTTTTTCTAAGAGAAATTTATTTCATCTGGTGATTATCTGACCTAATAATCTCAATTCCTTTTCTCAACAGTTTAAATGAAATGTGGCATTCCTAGTTTAATCACATTTACTTGGAAGATGCACCACTGATGTCTGAACAAAATTAGCATACCTAAAACTAGCATGATCTCCAGTCTTATATCCAAGTATAGTTAAGGTTGGAGCCTTTGATATCTAAATCTGTGAGTTTATTGAGCCGGGCTTTAAGTACATTTAACTTAAATTGAATTTAAATTTAATTTCTGTTTTCAATCAGATGCACCTTAATCTCCTTCTTCCTGCAGATTATGTTTACTACATACCTGGGGATCAAAAGTCTGTTGGGATTAATACTGAGCTCCTCTACCCATTTTCTTGGGAAGAATTCATTTTGCACATCTGAATCAATAGGCTTAGGATCTGGATCCACCTTTCATAGAAGCCAAAGAAGCAAGCACATTGACATTGAGAGTAATTGAAATCCTATTGCTTTCCAGGCAGCTTAACTACAGTAAGGTCTAGAATTGGATTGGGGCCAGAAACAAAGGTCCTTTTGCCTGCTTACACAGAGGGGGAGGCAGCAGGGAGAAAAAAATAAACCTTCAAGCAACCCACCCCCATCAACTTTTGGTCCCACCTCCATCAACTTAGTCTGCCTTCAGTGGAGCCCATAGCCAAATGCTACTTGGGAGTGGCCCGCAAGGTCAGCGGTGAAAGCTGATGATTAAGCTCATCAGCATTCTTTCCCCTGAGAAAGAGGATACAAGAATTAGAAGCAAAGGTCTTCACAGCAGAGCGCGGAGAATTCAAAGTAGGGCAGTGAGAA